ACACACACACACACACACACACACACACACACACACACAATGTTCAAAGATCTCAGCAGAGTTCTTCATGCTCGCCTTTGAAGCCTGCATCATTCACAGTGTTTTGTTTTGTTTTGTTTTTTTCCTCCTTCTTCTTCAGTTCATGAGCTGGTGTTCATTTTCTGTGTGTGTGTGTGTTTTATTTTGTTTGGATTTTTTTTTTTAATTTTACTTTTTGGAGCTTGCTGTGTTGCTCTTTTTCCCCAACCTTTACCCTCACGCCCTCTTCACCCATCTCCTCAGAGATAAAAGAAAAAAAAAAAAAAAAAGCTAAGTTTTTTTTTCTCCTCCTGAGTTCTTCATGTGAGATTGAGCTTGCAAAGGAAAAAAAAAATGTGAAATGTTATAGACTTGCAGCGCGCTGAGTTCCATCGGGGTTTTTAGCATTGTTATGCTAAACTAGAGAAAAAAAAATCCTCATGAACCTGCCACAATCAAGCCTGCATCAACCTTCTGGGTGTGACTTGTGAGTTTTGGCCTTATCATGCCAAATCTGAGAGTTTAGTCTGCCATTAAAAAACTCATTCTCATCTCATGCATTATTATGCTTGCTACTTTGTCTTAGCAACAATGAACTATAACTGTTTCAAAGACTTTATGGAAAAGAGACATTATATTAATAAAAAAAAAAAGCCTGCATGCTGGACATGTATGGTATAATTATTTTTTTTTCTTTTTTTTTTTCTTTTGGCTTGGAAACGGACGTTCGAAGACTTATGGCATGGCATTCATACTTTTGTTTTAATCGCCTCATGACTTTTTTGAGTTCAGAACAAAAAAGTGCCACCCTAGAGCCTTCTTCCCATGAAAGTTTGCATCTGCTCCAAAACTGCTTTGAGTTACTGAGAACTTCAGCCTCCCACTGTAAATGCACTGAAGGCATTCCTTGTCAAAGATGCCAGAATGGGTTAAAAATTTAACATGGCAAACATTAAAAGAACTCTTAATGTTTTCTTTTTAATAAGAATGACACCCCACTTTGGGGACTAAAATTGTGCTGTTGTGGAAAGCAGTCTAAATTTATTTTTTAAGAAAAAAAGAAATCTGCCCCATTATTTTTGGTTTGTTTTATTTTTATTATTTTTTTTTTTTTGGCTTTTGGTCATTGTCAAATATGGAATGCTATGGGTTCCTAGTATATAATTTAATTCTAGTTTTTATAATCTGTTAGCCCAGTTAAAATGTATGCTACAGATAAAGGAATGTTATAGATAAATTTGAAAGAGTTAGGTCTGTTTAGCTGTAGATTTTTTAAAAGATTGATGCACTAAATTGTTTACTGTTGTGATGTTAAGGGGGGTAGAGTTTGCAAGGGGACTGTTTAAAAAAAAGTAGCTTATACAGCATGTGCTTGCAACTTAAATATAAGTTGGGTATGTGTAGTCTTTGCTATACCACTGACTGTATTGAAAACCAAAGTATTAAAGGGGAAGCACCCCTGTTTATATCTGTAGGGGTATTTTACATTCAAAATGTATGTTTTTGTTTTTTTTTTCAAATTTAAAGTATTTGGGACTGAATTGCACTAAGATATAACCTGCAAGCATATAATACAAAAAAATTTGCAAAACTGTTTAGAACGCTAATAAAATTTATGCAGTTATAAAAATGGCATTACTGCACAGTTTTAAGATGATGCAGATTTTTTTACAGTTGTATTGTGGTGCAGAACTGGATTTTCTGTAACTTAAAAAAAAATCCACAGTTTTAAAGGCAATAATCAGTTAAATGTTATTTTCAGGGACTGACATCCTGTCTTTAAAAAAAAAATGAAAAGTAAATCTTACCACAATAAATATAAAAAAATCTTGTCAGTTACTTTTCTTTTACATATTTTGCTGTGCAAAATTGTTTTATATCTTGAGTTACTAACTAACCACGCGTGATGTTCCTATGTGCTTTTCTTTCATTTTCAATTCTGGTTATATCAAGAGAAAGAATAATCTACAATAATAAACTGCATTTTTTTTTGATTCTGTGCTCAGTTTCTTAGTGTACAATTTAACTGGGCCCAAAACTGCATTAGAAGTGTAAAATGCATCCTTTTCTCCAGAGGCAGGATTAATGGAGGTGTAGGGAGGCAGTAATTCAGGGCAAAACATAGGCTGTTTTGTGAGGTGGGAGGCCATCCCTTTGAATAATTAGAAATATTTAATATAAATGTAAATTATGACCTCTCAAAATGCAGCCCCCCCCCCCATAAGCCCCCCACTTCCATGCAAAGTTTTCAGTTTTCAAGTGAGTTGAGACATTATTGCCCTCTGGTGAAAACAAACAAACAAAATCCCAACCAGAGTAGGGCCTGCTCGGCATTGCTCTCGGCTCCTGGTCCAGCCCAGCAGCAAGCCCATCTAGAGGGAAATGGGCCCAGCAGAGAAGTCATGGCAGGAGGTGGCTTGGGCACATACGCATTTCATGGTAAAGATAAACAATTCTTGCCTTTTGGCTAGAATAGATTATTTTTCCTTCTTCCCTTACACACCATGATTTTCTGGTTAGCAGGGCCCGACCCGACTTAACATCAACACTTTGGATAAATCCAATTACTTGTTTTGTTTTTTAACTTTGAAGGTCATTTGTCTTAAATAGGAAAAAGAAAAACCCACCCCTTACTCACATAACCCCAAGTACATCTCTGAATTTAAAACTGTGTCATTAAATCATATTTCACGGTATTTAGCAGAGAGGGGCTTCTCCACTTAGAGAAGCTGGCTATGATCAGATCACCTTAACTCCAGAAACACAAGCAAAAAAGTAATACCTTGATAGAATCTGTGCTCTGATCGATCAGTATTTGCCCCCAAACAAGCAGTGTTTCGAGGCTAACTTCAAAGATGACTTTGAAAGCCTTGAGCTACCTTCTTTACTAACAGCGTTGACCTATTTTAAAATGACATAAATTCGTGCAACTAATGTTACAAATTCATGCAGTCTGCACTCCTAATCGACTTCCCCTAGAATGCTAAAAGAATGTTAGACAAAGCCAACACTGTTTTGAAAATATAGCCAAACACGATGACTTTTGTTTTATTTTGTTTTGGGCTTTTTTGTTTTGTTTTGTTTTGTTTTGTGTTTTGTTTTTTAAGATAATATTGCAACTCTGAACGAAGGCCTTATTTTGAAGAAAACAGGTTGTGCTTGGCGCGGACGAGCTCTGGCCAGTTGATATCCTGTCTTCCTTCCCCTTTTTCACAGAACGCAAAGACAGGGTAAACCCACTGCATTTTGACCTTCCTTCATGTGCCAGTTTGGATAGAACTCCTGACTCCACACTTCATTTTGCTTAACAAAAGTCTTCATAGTAAACATAAATCCCTGCGCTGGAAGTTAGCTCTTCTCTGCTTCAGAGGTTTTGGGGTTTTTTTCCCTCTGATCCCATGGAGGAGATAGGCAGTTTCCCCCTGAAGGGGTAGAGATGCAGATATATCAGTTATGCTAAAAGCTCAGCCTCAGATGAAAGCTTTGAGGCAAAGGCTTCTGAAAATCAGAGTGTCATTCAGGATGGACTCACTGCAGTCCCGTCCTGAGAAAAACACTTGTGTCACAATTAAGCATTTTGATAGGACTCGACAAGGCAGTTCACTGTAATAAGTGGGTTTGGGCCCCAAACGTTAGAAAGCAGAGAGGCACTGGCAAAAATGGGGTTTGGGTGGCTGGCTTTAAGAGAAGGTTAACTCCTTAGTGAAAGGTAGTTTTACATAGAAGCATGACTATAAAACTTTGAAATGTAGACTGAGAGGCACACACAAATACATGTGTTTGTTGTTTTATTTTGTTTTGTTTTGTTTTTAACAAAGAAATCCTAATTCTGCCTAAGTGTCCCTGGTAGAAATAAATTTTTACTTAAAAAATAAATAAGTTCTGTAAGGAAATCTGGCTTTCCCTTTCCACTGCATCTGAGTCTTTGTCTAAATAGTGTTAAAATTCCTTTCATTCCAATTACAGAACTGAGCCCACTCGCAAGTTGGAGCCATCAGTGGGATACACCACATTTTGGAAGCCCCAGCAATGTATACTTACAGTGTATTCACAAAAAGAAATTTATGTAAGAACTGTACATTAAAAATTTATCATTATTATCATTATTATTATTATTATCATCGTTTGCAGCCTTAAGAGAGCACCCTGCCCCTGACTTCCGTTTAGTCTCCTTTTTAAAGAAAAATGTGTTAGAGAGGAAGAGTGGAAGGTATGTAATCTCCATACTGTGAACTGTGCCTCTGGTCTGAGGGTCTTTCGATGCCAATCTAGAGGAAAGCACGAGGGGGCTTCTGTCCTCACGGCATGTGAAACTAAATAGGTACCATTGTTTTCAACCCGCAAGATGAGTTTTAAAAAGCCACTGAAATTGAAAGGAGATCTATGTGCACTTTTATATGAAGAGAAGTTTCCCAGAAGGTAGCAGCTAGCGTTTTTGAAACATATGTAGACACGCACACTCTAAAGAGTACTTTTTCACGCTTCATTGTTTCTCTGGCAGATGATTTTACTAAGAAGAAAAATATACATGCCTCCCCCTCCCCAAGCAGATGCCACAGGCAGAAGCTTTAGCCGAGCCCCAGCACCCTGGGTTTCCGGTAGGCCCGGATAGTAATATATTTATCAGTGATGTCAAATGTGTTCATTTATCAGACATGGCTGTAAATGAAAACGGCGTGTGGCAAAATACAAAGTTAGTTAAACCACACCCTCCATGTGCTTTTTCCTCCACTTCTAGCCTCCTGGCCATTCACAAAATCACCTCCCTTGTGTTTCCCTACTCTTTGCACATTTCCTTTTGTTAAAAAAAAAAAAAGTGTAACAGTTTTTCATACTGTATCTGACACATTAATAGATCGACATCAAAGTAGACAGAGGTTCTTCCTTCACCTCGGTGAGGAAAGGATGTCTAGAAACCATGTTTGTCCGCCTCGGTGCCATAACCATCCGGGCCCCTTTCAACACGGGCTGCTCCAAATAACTCCATGTATAATGTATTATGGAATGCGAGATTTTAACGCCCCTGATCTCTCCTCCCTTCTCCCTTTGCCCCCGTAGTTTTTATTTCGTGATATCAATTCTAGATGGTTTTGTTCTCCTAGAGGACCTCCCCTCTGCCAGACCACCAGGTTTCCTGCTCAGCACGGTGAACGGAGGGCCGAGCGGCAGCCCCCCTGGCAAACATGGGCCACGGCCGCCTCCGTAGCCGTGTCCCCAGCACAGCCCTGACTCAATAACAAGTTGCTTCTGACACAAAGGTTGCCAGAGTGGAGTACGTCGGAGGCTTTTGTTGATGTTCCTCGTGCTTTGTTTGGGAAGACTTACTTCCGTATTCACACACTCTTGGCTTTAGAAAATGTACTCCTCCTGGGCTTCTCGGCCAATCAATATTTTTAAAAGTCTGCTTGCCACACAGGTGTCTCTATTTTTTGCCCGTCGGTAGTTAAAGCCTAACCGAGGTAGGCGGGAGGCTGAAATCCATGAGTGACAACCTTCAGCCTTCTGACTCCTATGCCAGGGAAACACACCACCAGGCTCCTGGCCTTACTTTCCATGTAAACATGCATGAGAGGAATGAGAGGCCAGATTCCTCTGCTCTAGATGGTTTGCAAGGCTTCCCACTGCGATTGACTTTCATTTGATTTTTTTTTTTTTTTTTAATCACGCCGCCCCTTCCTAGGAAGACATGTCTTGGTTTTTTAGGGGAAGATTTATCTACAGTGATAGGCTCTCATTTTCACCACTTCTCATTATTCCTCAGGATGCTGAATGAATAATTGGGAGTCGGGGTCTTCCTTGTTGTTGGGAGGAAAATAAGAGAAACCTGAAGTTTGTTCTCCTCTTGGCTCGTCCTAAATGGGACAGGTGCCCCAAGTCCAAGGCAAGGCATATAGTGGCCGTCTGTACGGAAGGTGGTCTGGGGTCCAGGCCCCCCACCCTGAATCAGGATTTGTTTGTTTTTGCCCTTGTTTTAAAACAGTCAGGAGCCTCAACCCACCTTCTGATAACACTGCTTTTCTCACTTTTGATATAAATCTTCAAACCCTAGACATCAAACAGCCCCAGAAAAGGGGAATTCTCTCCAAGCCTTGGTCGGCCCCGGCTCCTGAACAAACCCAGCTCTGTCTGGCACTTTTTCTTCAGCGGGGGTAGGGGACAGGGTGAGAGAATTTCAGTCCCCCAGGCTGTCTCATGATTGTCCGGGCATAAAGAAGTACAGTCCTGCAACAATGCGGGAACATCTTTTTCCTTTAGAGAGGGACAAAACAAAAAACAAAGCAAATCAAATTACTCTGCACGAAGGCGTAGCAAAACCCCAGGCTCCTGTTCTCGGCACCCTCTGTGGGCGGTGAGAAATGAAGGGAGGAAGAGGGAAGGGTGGGGAGGACTTTGAAGGCAAGAGTCCCAGGAATAATCCCAGTCGCCAGCCTGAATCTCACTTGCTCTCCGGCTAAAGGCAGGCCCAGTATGTCCATGGACCAGGTGCGAACGAGGTTCGACTGTCCGCTCCGTTCCCATCCGCTCTCACATGTGTTTCCTTTTTGAAAACAATTTGAGAGCTGAAACCCAAACTGAGAAATCTGGGGAAATTGTTAATGCCTCAACTTTGGGGGCATTTATAAATATATCCATCTGCAATTTTACAGCGGTGCCATTTTTTATCAGTCAGACCTGTTATGCCAATATTTATATGGTCCCACATAGGGTTTAGGCATTGTGACAGTCTTCATTGTTTAAATTCGAAAGCCCTTTGCGTGTGTGCCTGTGTGTGCGTGTGTGCGTGTGTGTGTGTGTGTGTGTGTGTGTGTTCCATAAGTTTGCCCGCTATCATAAGGCTGAGATAAAAAGGACACATCGATAGCACACAGAAATCAGATCTTCATATGAATTTGCATCAGAGTTGGGCAGTTTTAAGAAACTCACAAAGCACATTTTCCACAGAGAGGCCATGACTGGAATGCACAGTCCCTTACTCAAATCCTAATCATCCACTGAGCACCTCTACCCTTGTTCAACAAAATCCATTCTCTTTTCCTTTCTTTTTTGTGAAATAACATTTTTCCCCCATAATTAGGACTTTGGATTGCAAAATCACATTCCTCTCTTCTCCACAGATTCTTGGATCTTTAGTTATGATTAGAAAGGGGCATTAATTCAAGAAGGGAGGATGAGGGAGGGGTGTTTGTGGACATTCGGGAAGAGGACGGGAGGAGAGGAAATAGCTCTGTGTTCACCCCCCACACCCCTCAGCCCCTGCCCCGCCGAGGCTTGGGTGTGAGCTACACACAGGGGATTTGGATTCTGAAAATTCTGATCACCAACCTTGAGCATTTCCCAGCTAAGATTCCAAAACATGCTTTTTCCTTGTGGCCGGTTCTTTCAGTTAGGAAATAGGAGAGGCCACTGAAACCTTACAGGACCAGGCAGAGAGGCTTGAAAACCGCTCTTCTGAGAAGACCCCCAAGGACGATTGTGAAGGGATCCTGCGCCGGAAAGTCCGGTCAGCAGGGAGGATCCAGAATTTGCCCCAGTTCTGTGTGACCTCATCCACTTCTGGAAGCCCATAGAAATGGGTTTCTGGCCTTCGTTGGGGGCGTCCTCCAGCGGGAAAGCAGGCTTGAGGATCCCGGAACAATAGGTGACTCCAAACTCGACCAGCAGAGTGGAGAACAGGAAGGGGCCAGTGTGCGGGGCTGGGGGAGTACCGCTAACACAAGCCAACCTTGGCTTAGGATTCCCCAACCAGGGATCAGAGCTAGGTCTGTCCCAGGGCCCCGCCTTCCACCAGAAAAGATCTGCTTGCGGGGTGACTGACAGGCGGCTGACAGACCCCAGGATCCCCAGGATTCCTAAATGCAATACCCATGTTCTGAGCTCCAGGGCTGGGGCCTCTCATCACCTGACACTTGCCCCATTCCAGTGTCCTCTCTGTAATATTTGCCCCCTCTTTCTCCCTGCCTAGTCGCCCAGAGCCTTGTGAGAGTTAGAGGTCACTGCCTGGGGCCAGAAGGCAGTGCCTAAGCTGAGACCTTGGACGCCTTACATCACTCCTGCCCCAGTTTAGGTGCAGACAAGGGCAGGGCTGGAGTGAAGAGCTGGCCAGCAGCTCCCGGAGAGAAGCTAGGGGGTGGCTCATGGAATGTTTAGCACTGGCTGCAGAGGGTGGTGACAAGGGTCCTGACGGGAAGGCCGGGAAGAGGCTGAGGTTGCCCATTTCTTGGTTTCCTTGCCCCTCACTGGCCATACTCCTCCTTCTGGCCCTGTCCCTGTATACACTTGGTCTGCGTGGGGAGTGTGTGGGGGGGATTTGCAGGGCAACCGGGGGCTGCTGGGGGTGAGTGGAGCCAGGTGTGCTCTCCACCCCCGGGGGGAGGGGCGGTCCCTGGCTGCACTGGTGGCAGGCACGGAAGGACAGAAGGCAGGAACCACAGGGTAGGTCCCAGAGGCTGCCTGAGGTCACCAGGCAGTCCCTGCTCTGCTCTCCCCAAGCCCTGCGCTGCGCCCCCCGGAGGCCCGCACACTCCTGGCCGCCACGGGGCTCCTCTTGGAGGCGCCCAAGATACCTGGGGGCTGGGAGGAGGGGCGGCGGCACAACAGCAGCCTCTGTCCCCAGTCTCCAGCTTGCCTCAGTGCCCCGTGCCCATCGGGTGCCCGCGCCCCAGCAGGGGCCTCGGGTTTGTGTTGGGATTTGGTTTAATTTTCCAAGAGGACTGACCTGGCCAGAGTGGAGTGCCTGCGGACGTCCAAACTCCCCGTTCTGTTGTGCTCCTCCTGGGTGGGTGAGAGGGAGGGAAGGGGCTTCGGCCCTAAAAGGCTCCACCCCTCACCTTGGGACTCCCACCCCACCCTCGTGAGCCTCCCCAGGAGCCTTAAGATCCTCTTCGGCTGTTCCCGGCCATTTGATTTTTACTTTGTTAATTTTCGGGCCTATTTTTCAGATCTGTTTTCCTGCTCTGGTTAGAGGAAGGAGGAAAAAGAGAAAGGAAAGGAGGAAATCCAGATAACATTTCAGGATCTTCATAGAAATCTCCACATGGTTAGGGTTTTTGATGGTATAGTTTGATGCTCATGGTAAAGGAAAGCCAGTCAAACAAACTTTATTAGGATTTGGACAACAGCTCCGTCATGAGGGTCTTGCGTGCATTCTCAGATTTTCAGCACAGTTCTGGTCCAGTTTCGTGCCCTCAGGACCTGTTCTTACGAGGCCAGATTTCAAAACTACTAGTTGCAGAAAGGAGCCGTTTCCTATAGGGAGGGCCTTTTTCTTATTGGACCCACAGTTTTTTAGAGACTCAAGAAGAGAGCCAAGTAACATCACACTTTCTGAACTAGGTCTCCTTTTTCTTTCTCCTTCTCTTCAGGATGTAATCATTAATGTGCAGATAAATTATGTTGACACTAAAACAATGATCTCAGCCTCTGAGACACTTTTGCACTGTCAAATTACACTAAAATCCTTTCTGATAGAATGGGGGGAAAGGTGTGGTAATCATGCTAGGATTAAATCTGTTAAAAGATGGTATTTGAGTTTTTGTATTTGCAAGCAATGAATACAACATATTCTTTCATCTGGCATCTATCTGTCCATCTACCTATGATCTGCTATCTACCTACCTATTTATGGAGCTCTTTAATCCGCCATAGAGGGAGAAGCTGTTAAAAATCAGTCTGCAGTGTCCACATTATGAAATAAAAACAATCACGTGGCAGAGTTAACCTGCGTACTCCGTCTTTTGGTAGACATGAGCAAACCTGGTCTGAAATGTCCGTCTTAAAACAATCTCCCCATAAAACCTTCCCCCACTTGGTGCGATGCTGGACAGTGTGGAAACAGAGACTGACCATCTCTCTGTAGCACATTCGCGGGGTCCACGGTCCATGTTAATTTCCTGCACTGTGTGGGTACCCAGACCTTTGTAAAAAATCTTCCTTGGAATATCAACGCACGTTCCTATGCTATTTAAAAAATACTATTTAATCGTTAGGTAAATATCTCCAGTCCTTCGAGGCTCTACGCTGGCAGACGTCTGGCTCGGACTATGCTGTAGCGGTCTGCCTCAAAAACCTCTCTTCCCCTTCCCATGTGAGACCCCTTTGCCCCCACAACTCTTCTCCAATGACTAGCCTGGGTGAAGCTGATGAGAGCGGAGAAACTGCAGTTGCTTTTGGACCCTGTTCAGGTGTGCAAACAAAATCTCTCTCCCC